CAAGAAAAACCGAATATATAGAAACGTCAAAGTGATCCGATGCCAGCGCTGTGGCGAGTAGTTCGCGGAAACGATAACATTCAAAACAATCGTTAAATGCGCAAACGATGATCCAGAATGAAGAGTTACGTCTGTTGGACTGTGGTTCAGGGATCCAGCAATCCAGATCAACAGTTGCTGCCAGCGAATCAAAAAATTCACCAGGAATACGTAAGTCTTAACCGTACACTAGATCTGCAGCTGAGCATTTAAAATATTCTCTATATGAAACACGCAGTCCAAGCAAATTCATCTCGAAGCTCGATGTACCAATCGGGTTGACGCACATAATAGAAGCTTTCAACGTCCCATGGAATCTTCCACAATTCCATTCGCTTGTGGATGGTATGCAGTAATCCGAATATGATGAACATTTGGGTCAGTTCGCTGAATAATTCCGACTCAAATTGACGTCCTTGGTCTGTTGTTATATTTTCAGGAACACCCAACCTTGAAATCCACGTCAAGTACAATGCTTGTGCTACCGTTCGTTAGTGCTGTCATGTCGGTTAGCGGGACTGCTTCTCGCCAGCGTGAAAAACGATCGATCATCGTGAGAAGATAGCAATGTCCTTGTGATGGTGGCAGAGGTCCAACAAAGTCGATATGAACGTACCTAAATCGAGCCTTTGGAACATCAAATTCAACCAGAGGAGACGTAGTATGACCATTAGACTGATGCAAAATTTGACTTTTTCGCTCCACAGTGCTTAAATGGTTTCAAATCGGGTCCTGATTAGCCTCCAAAAGTTACAACTCATTTGGTTAGAAACAGACTTCGCACAAACCATTTGAAGTTTACATGTAAATTACTATGGGAAATCTCAACTTTTTGTTCATTGCCTTCTAGTCTTTTTCCATATTGAGCTGCAAAACAGCTCGATAGCTATTCTTATAGAAAATTTTCTCAGCTACAACTTTGCTGAAGATCGTTTCTATGTAAAACGAGACAGGAAATAGTTATTAATTATTTAAGAGATTTGTAGACTTATGACATGATCAAGCAGCTGCTCTGTAGGCAACACTGTATTTTGCAGTGTGACATAGTAGCCATAATTTTTGTGTCCTATTCAACGCCCCAGAAACACCAATGTTGCCTGCTGAGCAGTTGATTGAGCATGATTATAAGACATCAGTGCATTGAACCATTAATAACTTTCGATCCTTGCATTTAATCAAAAAGTGGTCTTCAGCAGAGTTGTAGCTGGGAAAATTTCCTAGAAGCAAAGTTAAAGGCTTTTGAAGTAGACCGATATGGTGAATTATTAGATAGACATGAACAAAAATCTTGGTTTTACCATAGTAATTCCCATACAAACTTCAAATAGTTTGTGCCATCTCAGTTTCTCACCAAATGGGTTCAAATTTTGAGAGGTTAGTCAGGATCCGATTTGGAATCGTTTAAGTATTGTGGAGCGAAAATTTCAAATTTTGCATCACTCAAATGACCATAGAGGTAACTCTAAGACCAGAAGGTCCCGAAGAAACGAGTTCAACTTTTTGGCTCAGCTCTGGTACTATCTTCGGTCCCAAGCTAATCGATTCACCCCTCGAAACATAGGAAAATCCACTAACCCCTCATTTTAGCTGTCAAACTTTCATAGCGAATCAAAACAAACATAGTGTAGTACTGGAATTTATACTAGATATAATATTTAGGCTAGTCGAGTAGTGAGCCAATTTAAAATCGTTAGATTCGTATTGTTTGTTGATATGACGATGTACCTTCGAACGTTGACAGTTTAAACAGTTCTTGACAAATGGATGTCGGTTATGAATTTCGATATAAATCTAAGGTAACGCTCTTCATGCGGTAATCATGAAGTGGATTCAGTTGCCAACGCGAAAGTTAATGGACGATGATCCGTGAAAATAGTGAAGTTACGGCCTTCTAGCAAATGTCGAAAGAACTTCACAGCCATATTCATAGCGGTTTACTCACGCCCAAACGTGGAATACGAACACTGAGATTTTGAAAAAAATTCAGAATAAAAACCTTGTGGTTCCCAAACAGTGCCGTTTAACTGCTGTAGTACCGCCCCCGCAGCAGTGTTCGAAGCGTCGATCATTAGCCCAAGTGACTTTTGCGTGTAGCCTCCGTCCAATGTAGCTTCCGAGAGTCATTTTTCCGGTTGTCTGGAATCAGTTTCCGCAGCTCAGCTTGTATATCCGTGGCATGACGAATGAACCGCTCATACCCGTTCACAAGCGCCAAGAAGCGGCGCAGTTCCTTAACGCTCGAAGGCAATTCGTAGTCCATAACAGCTCGGACTCGTGCCGGAAGAGGGCGCACACCACTTTCGCTGATGAGGTATCCCAGGAACTCCAACACAGTGCGTTCAAAAACGCTTTTGGCCACGTTTATGACCAGACCATGTTGACGCAATCTTTCAAATACGATTCGTAGGTGTTCGAGATGCTCTGAAGCGGAGGAAGAAGCAATACATGTATCGTCAATAAAGACAACCACAAAGTCTAAGTCAGCGAAAATCCGATTCATGTAACGCTGGAACGTTTGGCTAGCATTACACAAGCCAAATTGCATCCGTGTGAACTCAAACAATGATGACCGCCGTTTTTGGGATGTCGTTCTCTTCTACAGGTGGTTGCATCATCAGTTGCATCCCACAAACTAATCTGCTTATCGATCGCATCACTTCCCACGGTTAATCCAGATCAAAAATAGCGTGACCCACATTAACACAACTAACAAAAGGATAAGCTACACTGAGTGAAGTAAACCTAAGAATTCCATAAGGCATGACATATGAACCTGAACCATTTTGGTTTCATATGACACTTATGAATCCCATAAACACGACTTATGAATGATTATCGTAGTATATACATTGGGTGGTTCTTATACGTCTTTAGCCTATCCAATTCCCGCCCGCAATACACGGACTCAATAATCTAAACATGCCGGTTTCAGCTTTTCCAGATGGAGTGCTTCCGGATCCTCGTCTTGGTTCGGTTCGGATTCCACTGCTTGTTGTGTTGTTCATTCAAAACAAAACATTTGAACTTTCAACAAAGCCAGACCGATGACGCAGGCCCAAACGCAATGTGGACGGAAGCGAAACGGAAACGGTAAGTTTGACAGTTGCCACAAATGCCATCAAGATGTCTAACCGAAGTCGAATTGGCTCTAACTCCCAGGTTAGAAGCCGACAAGTAGGCTTCCTCAGATCGTGCTTTTTCGCTGTCGTTGCGCTTGGGCCTTCTCAAGGTTTGCATCCAGCCTGCTCCATTTTATAATAGGGGAAATGACGGCTTCGGCATGACAGACTATTTTCGGCAACCCAAATTGAAACACTATTTTCACTGGATTTTCTTACGAAAACACTTCGCTGAATGCATGCAAACGATTCTTTATGCTTTCAGCTTCAATTTGACTATATTTTTACCACTGAGAAAAAACAATCTAGCAAGGTTTTCTTGAAATGCAACACACGCACTACAAATTGTAGCTGATTTCGAGTTGCCGATAATAGAACAGCAGATTTACATGCAGTTGAAATGGAACGGCTGCCGAAGAAAAACTGGTTGCCGACAATACTCGCTCTCACTAGAGAAGAATGGAGCTTTGTAAATGCGTTTCAAAACAGTTTTTGACGAATCTTTCGACTGAAATTGTTAGAGCAGCTGGCAGCAAAAGATTGTAAACAAACCAATACTGCATATGTGTGCGTTCCTTAGAGAAAAAGGCTATAGAAAGAAGGTCGCTGCTTAGGTTGCCGAGAATACGTAAATTCCCCTACTTGTTTAAGATTTATAAGCTGACTCATGAATTGTGTTTCATTGAACAAACTTATGATTTCCATAATAAATCCTTGTGGCGAAAAATCATAAGTGGTTCTTATGGAATTCTTACGCATATTTGTAAACCCAAGCGCCATCTATGTGGTTCTCTATGCAATTCCATGCAATTCCAATCAGGAACGGAGTAGCAACTGCTATAGTGTACGATATCCACGGACTTTAAAAAAAAGAAGAAGAAAGGAAGTTCTGAAATGAATTCCTATGTAGTTCTTAGAATAATCTCCTAAAGGTTGTGAAAAGAACCTCATAGGAAACCACTACGTGACAGAGACATTTTACGCTAATCGTGAGGAAAATAACTTGTGAATTTTTAGAATAATTCCAATAGAAGTTTGACGAGAATTCAAAGAGATGTATAAACATAATTTAAAGGATGTTCTAAGGATAATTTCAAAAGAAATAGACACAGGAAAATGTCAAAGGAATGTTTTCAATTCTGGTCATCATCATCTGGTCCCGGTTTGCTGGCCACCCTGTAAACATGTTTCTATTCCACGGTAAACGTTAAAAACCAAAAATCTTGAAATTCAAGTAAGGGGCCCGTCTCCCCGCTTTTAAAAACGGTGTCCCTCCCCAAAAATGTCTACGTGGCTTATGAACAGTCCCTAAGTAAGATCTTAAAATTTTGAAGGTCCATCCACTCACTTCGCTATAAAAAATGTTTTTCGGAATTGTGAAATCACTTTATGTAGAAATTACAAGAAGAGATTGCAACGTACGTGTTTGACACATAGTACCTATCAATTTCGCTTTCACAATAAACGATTTAAGCATACGTGAGAGCTCATTCTTCAGAAAGCACATGTTAATTCACCAATGAGCAAACATCAGAAGAACTCATCACGGTCCCCCTTCGATGGACCGAAAAAGTTTTTGTTATGAATAGTAGAATTATTTCTAAAGACATTCGGCTCCATAAAGTATTGTTAAGACAGTTGAGCATTGCCAAATAAACGAATCGAAAAAAAAAACTACACCCTCTAACTAACGACGGGCGACTTTGCGCAACTCAATAGAGAAACCCTAGCGTAAATGTATGAAGGCAAAGCCCATTTGGATCGCAACTACGAATCCCTCCCAACCAGAGCCATTATGAAATGATGATCGTAGCTTTTCAAAAGAGGGAACCTCTAAAAGCACGCAGACAGGATGCTATAGGGAAAGAGAGCTGATCGCCATCAGCAATTGCTAGCAGTTTACTAGGAATGTTCCGGCACTGGGTTGTTGTAGTACCTACTTCTTGATTTCATGTTAATGTTAATGTTGATTTGATTCGTTGTTTCGCATATATTATTCATTGCACTAAGACGGCATTCTTCTTCGCTACATTGGTTGGTTGATTACGATTTCCTACATGTTTCAAGTGTTGTAGTCGGTGTGTGCGTGTGTTGAAAGGCAGAGAGGATAATCAAACGAATCAATAGAAGCACGCATAATAGAAACGGATCAAAAATGAACACTTAAAAGATGAAGATTAAGCGATGGAAGACGAAGGATATGGGCAATTTTCGAAAGAAAACAAAACCAACAGAAGCTGAAACACTACCAGGTGCTACGTTTCGAAAAAAGAAATTTATTTAGATTCTTGTTTTGGTTGTTTTGTGTATGTGTATGTGTATTTGTTGATGTCGGTTGTGTATCACTAGTTCTATGTTTTCGTTTTCTAGAGTACTATTGTTTGATATTTTTGCTTGAATTTTTGTCTCACTACTACCACATAACAACACACGCTTGCTTTCCGTTATTTACACAATTTTATATTACCTAAGAAAATGCCTCATATTATACTTGCGTGTGTGTGTTTGTGGGCATAATGGTACGATATAAATAAAACATGTCCTCTATCCACAGTTTCACTCGTTTTGCTTCCCTCCAGTACAGGAAAAAGAAATACGTTCAGGGACAATTTAATCTCATCTAAGAATGTACTAAAAATTTGGGTTATAAAAAGCTAAAATAACACTTCTGTTACGGGAACAGAAAATACTTTTCATTTGCCACCGAAAGTATACAGCAAATTCAACACAATTTCTCACGTAATGTGCATTCGAGGGCAGGCAGGTCGTCCTGCTACTGCAGCTTACGTTAAGAGAAAAGAGCATATTTGGCATTAATGTGTGTGTGTGTTTTTTGATTACCTCTGTTAGTGTTTCTCTGTTTAGTTCCGGCTGAGCTGCGCAGCAGTGTCCTTCCGTAGTTGGAGCTCCGACTGTTGCTGCTGCTGCTCAGCCATCATCACCTGTTCGTGTTCGTCGCTGCCTTTCAGACAGTTCAGCTTGTACTAATTGCTGTTGACGTTGGCCTTGCGCCCGCCACGTGGCTTGATGCTCTCCGATATCTGCCACATGGCGTCCTCGTCAAAGTAGTTCTCAAAGTTGTCGAAGAATCCGATGATTTTCTCGTTCTTCTTGAATTGGTACGATCTGCGGATGGACGCAGTTGGTAATTTGAAGTGAAAATGCTCAGTTCTTCAAGCGGACTTACCCCTTCTTGAAGCGCTTCATGTTGACCACTATGTGGTACTGTTGCCAACGTTTCGAAAAGTTGATTGATCCATTCTGAAGCGAATCCGGATTCCCGATGTGTACGAAGGTTAGATCTTGCAGCACGAGACCACTGGTTTGAGAAAATGATGAACGTTTGAATAAATGGTCTACAGTTGAGCGGCGGAAAATTCTACTCACATGTACGGTATACAGGGCGGGTTGGTTTCACCCAGAGCCTGACGATAGGCCCGAAAACTGGAACTCGAATCGATCAGGGCGCAGTACTCCTTCAAACCCTCGGTGATCGTCCTGTGCCACTCCAATCTGAAAGGTTTGCATTCCATGAGAAACAATCACAGGACAAAACTGGCAACACTTACCGCCTGATCGGTGCCGAATCCAGCGCCGACAGCAACGCCAGATACGAGTTGTAGTTGTTGATCTTCCGCAGATGCTTCATTATCTTGATGAACTTGATCACGTGCTTTTCCCTATCTTTGGCATCTTCCTGTTTGAGAATTTGCGATCGTGCCCTGCGAAATCGAACCAAGACAAAACATTAAAATACCTCTCCCGTCGCATCAACCCATCCGAGTCAACTCACCAGTAGGACATCTTGTTGAAATGCTCGGTAAACGTGGTCAGATTCGGGGACCGCTCCTCGTTCTGTTCCTGGGCCCAGATGAGTACCTCGGGTATTTCGATCTTTTGGAACAGTTCCGCATCCAGTAGGGTCATCTGTTCGGCTATTTCGGCTGACTTGAGGTCCAGCAGCGACGGTGGCGAGGTCATGACCGATCGGGAGGACGGCGCCATCAGACTGGGTTCCTTCGGTTGTTTCTGCTTGTACAGCGATACCTTTTCGATCAGCTTCACCCGGAGCAGCTTGGCCATCGTCAGGTGGCCGGCGCAGACTAGTTGGTAGACAAAGTTCATCAGGATCTCCAGCAACCGACGCGACAGATCCGGGCAGCTACGATTTTGGAGAAACGATTAACTTGGCACTGAAGAGAAGGAGGAATTGAGGGGTACTCACGTTAGATCGTTGACCACTCGCACCAGCAGCGAGAAGGACTCCTTGGCCGCTTTCTGCTTGCCGTCGACCATCTGACAGTGAAACAACGAGTAACGGTACGTCAGCTTCTGGATCAGCTCCAGCGGCGAAATGAACGTTCGGAACGTCGTGATGAAGGCTTCTCCGTAGGCTGTTTATTTTTTGTGGGTTTTGGTCGTTGCGAATGTGGATTAGATTATTATTAGTTTTTTATGAGAATTACCAGTGAAAATTATTGCTTTAGGTAATGAAGCATTTGAATTCGAGGCGTGCAATTCAGTCTATCTATTTGCCAGGTAGAGAAGCGATCTAAACAAAAAATGTTACTGAAGTAATCAAGCATATTAAGGCAAATAATGAAGCTGTTGAGAAATGTTGTCAAACAATGTTTCTCTTATAAATGAAGTAGCGGTAACACATAACTCAAATTTGATTGTATCAACACAGAAAAACAAACGTAAAACATCATTATTCGATTGTACAACTTTTCCCAGAAATTATTTTCTCGGAAAATTATTTCTTCAGCGCTTATTTATTATTTCGTCCCTACTTTACGCCGACCTTCAACTTAGTGTTTTTCACATTTTTAAATTGAGAGATTTCTAAGCTAGTACAATCACATTCTATGTTCAGTTCAAGGAAGTCGAGACATTTTTCAACCCGAAAAATTCCTAGACCGAACCGGAAAACGAACCCAGCCGCCTCCAGCATGGTCTTGCTATATAGCTCCGCCTTTAGCGACCGAGCTAAGGGAGGCTCGAAACATTTGCTGTTATATTCCAGCGAAACTTGGTACCTCACAGCTGGATATCAAATGCTGAGCTCCTTCGTCAATTTTAGCAGAAGCCGATAGCAAGAGAAATTAGAGAACGTACGTGGAGGCGGGTTAGCCACACACTGAAACGAAATCTGCAAGCAAGGGCTAGATTGGAACTCGGCAGGTCATCACAGCAGAGGTAGACCCAAAAGCTCATGCCGGCGAAGCCTTAAGCCTGGTACGCAGCTGAAAAGTAATGACGTTTTTACGTGCTACGGGATAGGACACGGAATGCTAAAGAAATTAATTTCCTTTAGCATTTCTTGACCCAGTACGCAGTTCTAAAGAAATCGGTAAAGGAAAAATCGATTACATTGGTATCGTGATCGACATGAAGGTGGCGCATTCTGAGTGAAATTTCACTTTTCTTGCGGAATAATGGTCTGATCAATTATTGCGTTAGGTAATTTTAACAATATGGTCCACTCTTTCGCTTAGCTGGCGAACCGAATTTTTAGCGATGAAAGCACCTCTGTGGCCAAAAAGGCTACCAATGTATTTGTTTATCGTCACGAGGGGTAAACCAAATGAAAATTTGTTTCATATTTCAAATGAATGTATTTCAGCATTTTATTTTATTTGATGACAACAGTGACACGTCAGACAAATTTTAAAGTAATATACACAATGTAACTAACGAAAATAATTTGACTATTACTTTTGTAATAAGTGCTATATTCGCATTGTAATTGAATGATTGTTGCTGACCTTTTTCAACGCTAGATGGTGCGTGAAGCAATATTTTGCAGGTTGCCATTGCAACATTTGGAAAAGGCATGAATGGATCATATTGTTAATATGATATATTTGATTTTAACAACATAAAAACTGGTGATTGTTGACTTTAAAATTTGACGACACCTCGCTATGATCTTAAAATTTAGCAAAAGACACCTCCCTATAGGCGAATCCAATGGAAATTAAGCGATCGTTTCAGCCTCTGGTGGTGAATAAGAGAATCATCAAAAGAGTGATGAGGGCAGAAATTTTCGCCGTGAAGCATAGGAAGAGGCAAATGTTTTTACCTTTTCTGATTAATTTATCCATCGCAGGTGCTTGAAATCATCATCCACGTGGAATATTTTGTTTTCTGTATCGGGTTTGCAGTGATCCGGCTGGTGCGTCCATATATTTTTGATGAGAAAAATTAAGATTTATGAAATTGTCCCAGCGGTTATGATCTTCCGGATTTTTAATGTGTGGTTATTTCAGCTGTAAATCAGTTCAGATCTGTAGATAATCGAAAAATAAGACCACTCCCGATGGAAATTTGCAAGTTGCGCAATAAAATGGACATTATTTTGAGTTTTGAAAGTCGTCATTATGATGTAAATAAATGCATTGGATGACATTTCCTTGCAAAATCGGCTAGCGCACTCTACATTGATGCTGCATGAAAAGAGCCTATAGGCCTTTCTAATGCACCGCCAACATAGAGGGCACCACGCGAGTTCGAGAGGAAACGTCAACCAAACCGTTTGTTTACATTAGAAGAAGGATTTTTCACAACGGAAATTAAAGCATTCCATTAGTAATTGGCGTCTTGCAGTGAAACTTTTCCAAGCTTTCGCCACCTGCATTTCGAAGTGAGAACTACTAGAAGGAGGAATGTTTCCAAATTTTCCAAGTAAAACAGACACTTTTTGGGGCAAATCGGTCCATAAAAAAAAACTAATAATTTCCCGTGGAAACTTTTGCTTGCATCGTGTAAGAAAACGTGTTTGAAAACTATTTGTTATTATTCTGGTATGGATCGGAGATGTTTTCATGGCAAATTATGCATAACAAGTTTGCACCCACAGGGAGAGGTTACCTCCTGCGCAACTGCATTTTTCGGAAAATGGTGAATATGTGCGATTTCCACTAAGATGAAAGTGGAAATTAAGTGAATTTACTTAGGAAAGGTTGTATCACAGACAACAGACATAACACTCGCAAGTTGTTCATCGAACAAGCATTTAACGGACAATTTAAAAGTATCGTAGTACCGCCACCTGTGGCACGCATAGTGAATTCCTCTTGCGTTTGACGTTTACACACTACCGCCATCTGTTCAATGTAGTGCCCACAACAGTGTACTCAACAGATGGCGGTAATGTTTTAGCGACGATGTTTTACAGTGAGAAATATTCAATGTGTTTTTGGACGGAAAATGCACCGGAACTTGATTTACTCAACACGCACCATACTATAAAATTGTGCTAGATGGTCTTCAAAGTGATAATAAGATGACAAATCATCTTTATTTTGAGTAATTGAGCAATTTACTTCTGTTAACATCATATTTACGATGCAACATTGATGGAGCCGTGAAATGAAAAGAATATATCTTATGAAAGTTCATCTGGAAAAGTCAAAGATGCACATCAGTCTGATCGTAAAAGCGTTTTCTTCTTCAATTCGAATGTTATACTGGAAGGGTTTTAACGCAGACTTGATGAAAATTATGATTTAATGCTATTTTTCACGAATTGCATATGCAGCCTGTCAACATTATCATCATCATGCAGTGGCGACATCTGCGTTGAGCTTTTGCGGCAATCTCCCAATTGCCTTTTTTTATGCCTTTCCACACATCTGAACTTATTTGCACCTAAACTATTCACACACAAGAAATCCGGAAGATCATAACCACTAAGGCACTATTGGAATGTTCCATTTTTCTCAACAAAAATATTCCTGAACACTAGCTATAGATCAAGTTTTCGAGCATTTCCGATGAATCAACTTATCAGGAAAAGTGAAAAAGTGTCCCACTTCCTATGCCTCACGGCAACTATTTCTGCTCACTACACTCTTTTTGACGTTCTCCTATTCACCACCAGAGGTTGAATCGATCGCTTCCCAAGTAACAATTTTGGTTTTATGAGGGTTCTGTAGACCATGATTTGGACTTGTAGAATGCTATAAAACCTCTATAAAGCTTGCAATGTTGCTTGGGTTAGTTTCTATTAAAAAGGCGTATAGCTGCCAAATTTACTTTTGAGAATATTCCTCAAAAATTACTTTTCCGTTTTCTTCTCAGCTGCGTACCAGGCTTTAACCACAAACGAAGTGACAGACGACTAACTGGCGAAGAAATCAATTAAAATAATGTGGTTTACTGTAATAGAATTTTCTTAGCAGCTTGTGCCATCAGCCACCAGATGGGCTACTATTTTTGTTTTGATTTGAACATAGTTGATTTTGTGTGCCATATGATCTTTGACCGAGTCTTTGACAGTGTGCAAAGAGTGTATCATTTTGTCATTTTTTTACGCATTTCAGTTTAGAGTAGAGTGAAAGAGGTATAATCAAAACATTCTAGTACATTTAGTTTTGCCATGTGGTACAATCCATTAGTAGTGTTGCCATGTGGTACAATCCAGTAGTAGTGGTGTTGCCATGTGGTACACTGAAAAATTGCAATAGCAGGTAGGTCACCAAAGTTTTCGAGCCGCTCCGTCTGTCACTTCGTTTGTGCTTTAACCAAACGTACAACTTCCACCTGAAACTTGTGTAAAGATAAGTGGGAACGTCGCCGTTACGTAGCGCTATCATCTCCTGATTTCCTCTATAAATTTTCCACTTTCGACCAATTTGACGCTAGTATCGATAAATTTTCGGTTGACAATTACCGCTTGGCGCTACCGACACTTAGTGTCTAGTGTAAATAGTGCAACGTCATCGCCATCATGTTGTCAAAGAGGGATTTTAAGTGGGGAAGTCGGCGTTGGTGGCATTGGTGGCACTTAAATCGAATAGGAATTTTTACACAAGTTTTTACAGAAATTTAGTTCGAGTCTCAACATCTGTTCTCTGTGCTACGATGCAGAAATGATTGTGTTTTGCTGTGGCTAGCTGCACGCACGCTGAGTAGATGGAAGGAAGATTCATGTCGATTTTGAATGCAAGTACATGCGAGAAATGAAAGATGATTTTTCGAAGATTGATTCGCTAGTGTGAGATTTTTTGAGCATCTAGAATTGAGATTTAGATGTGTCGCCCTCCTCGAAGCAAGCATGCTGATAAAAATTTGACATGTACGGAAGACATCATATCAAGAAGACTGGCAACTTTGCCAGAATTCAAGCGACAGATACAATGGCGCTGCGCTTGAGTGAAGGTGGAAGCAACGCATAGAAAAATGAGCAAATACACAAACCTTTCTTCTGAGGATGTAATCTTTGCTATCCAATTCGTTCGAAGCATTAACCTTTCAGCGGCAGATGTCGCGATTGTACCTGTCTCATAGCGTTCGTATGAGAAAATGGAAGAGTTGCCAGTCTTCTTGATTTGTTGTCTTCGCATGTACCCAGGTGAAAACAAAAGTAAGTTGCCGCCCCAGGATGATA